TCCAATTTCAGCAGTTCCTTGGCAACACTATCTCCCTTTGCCTTCTCAGCACATTCATATCGTCTTCAATTTATTGTGCGTGAATTCACTAACAGCTCTTGGAAATTATTTTTCTTCTTTCTTCTTCCATCTTTTTTCTCAGGACACTAGCATGTCCTGTCCAAACGCATTGAATAATCCAAGCGTTCTCAATTCTGTGATCTCTAAACCCCATTTCTCCTCCTGTGGTTATGACCCAGGAGAAGTTCATGGAGGTCTCTGCCTCTTCAACACCTGGATGATGCATTTCCTTAACACTTCCTCTAGTGACACGTGGACCCGTGATGTTACCCAGGTGCTTCTACCAGGGGTCACAGGAAGCTTCTGTCCATTTCCTTCCTAACAACTCCCTCTCTGGCTTTGCTGTATTTCTGTAAAGACCTGTGCTCTGAAGCTTAGTCTGCCATTCTCAAAAGCTTTCTTCTCCTCCTCCTAAAGCCCCTCTGCCGATCAGACAACCGTCACTGTGATAAGAGAGGTGGGCTAGGTGCAGGAGCTAGTGAAAAGCAGTTTTTATTTCCAGAGGATCTCTAATACAGGGGATTGTTCTGGCTTCTGCGCAGGGTTGACAGTACTTATGTTTCAGTAGATCAGTTTGCTTTTCTCTTGCTTCCTTTTTTCTCCCTTTCTCCCAGAGGATTTCCTTAGGGAAGTGCTTAAATGCTTTCTCTAGCTCAACAAGGACGACATAGACCATTTCTACATTGTGCCCTTTCACATGCTGTGAAACGTGTGTCCTTCTGCCTCCTTTTGTCCATGTCCATGAGTCCCAGGAACTTCGTGTTTAAACCCTGCAGTATTTGCCGACCTGTGCGGTCATCTCCCCTCGTTGGATGATCGTCCCATTGGTGGGATTATTGCTCAGTTGCAGCTACAATTGCTCTAAAATCATCCTCTCCTATGCCCTGATGATGCTGACTTTACCCTCTCTCCCAGAAAAAAGTCTCGTTGTCAGCCACCTGTCATGGATGCTCTTCACTGCCACAAGTCCTCGCTGTAAAACTTAACTGAGAAGAAGTTAACTTCCAGTCCTTTGCCTGGAATTACACGGTGATAAGATGAATGTTATCCACCCCTGTGTGGGCCCAATAGCTCTTCTTTCTGGTACCTTTTAAACAGTAAAAGCTTTATCTTTCTGCCCCCTAGTACATCACGAATCGCTGCATCTCCATGCCTGTCCCTGGTGACTGTCAGTTTGATGCACTTTCTATACCAGGGAGTGGTTGGTGCTTTGTTTCCTCTCACTGTCTGTCCACCATCTGGGTGATAAGGACTATGCTCTGCTTCCCCCTGCGATGCCTTCTCTTCCAGCCTAAATGCCCGTCCTGGCTTGTCTGTCAAGGCCCTAGTAGAAACCTTGAGTTCTTAAGATCCCTTCCCCCAAATCCCATGCGGTTATTCTGCATCCAGTACCCAGTCACTAACCCTCTTTAACCACTGCCCCAAACAGGATATCGAGGTCCCACACCTGCCTTAATCTGCAGCATCCAGCAAGGACAGGTGGAGCTCTGGGTCTGTGATGATGAGGACCGTTGGAAAATCTCCAGATCGGAGGACCTCGTGCCAGGTGGGTTGTGGCTGTCCCCTCCACTCTACTCCGCTCTCAGAAATGCTGCAAGTGCAGAGTGCCGGGGGGATCTGCAGACCTGCTCTGTGCTGACCTCAAACACAGCACATTGTGCTGTAATGTGTCCAGGCAGGTGTTGTTCCCATTCCCTGAAATTGAAAGCTATGGAGAAAAGCAGCCCTTCCCTTTTTGTTCCCCAGATTGTTAGGGGCTAGAAGGGACCTTGCAAGATCATAGGATCCAGCCCCATGCACCAGGCAGGAAAGCCAGCTGGGGTCAGGTGACCATCCAGTTGTCAGTTGAAGATGTCCAGAGTGATTTGCACCACCTCTGGAGGGAGCTTCTACCACTGTCTGGATACCCTGACTATCAAGTTTTTCCTAGACTTGAGCCTAAAAATGTCTTCCAGGAGTTTGTGGCCATTACTCCTGCTTTTTCCCAAAGGTGCCCTGGTGAGCAGTTGTTCACTGAGCCCTTGATGTAGTGGTAAGCTGCTACCAAGTACCCCCTCAGCCTCCTCTTCTTCAGGCTGAAGAGGTCCAGGTCTCTCCTTGTACGGTCTGCCTTGCAAGTCTCTGATGATATAGGTGGCTCTTCTCTGGACCCTCCTCGGTTTTTCCACATCCTTGTTGAAGTGCGGCGCCCAGAACCGGACACAGTACTGCAGCTGTGGTCTCCCCAGTGCCGAGTATGGCGGAAAAATCACGTCCTTAGTTTTGCATGAGATGCATCGATTGCGTACCAGAGTATTGTTTGCCCTGGTGGCTACCACATTGCACTGAGGGCTCACGTTCATGCAATGGTCAGTTGTTACCCTTGGATCCCTTTTGGTCATGGTGCTAGTCAAGCTGGCACCACCGAGCCTGTAAGTGTATTGGGGATTGTTTGCACCAAGGTGCAGGACCTTACACTTCTCAGTGTTGAACTTCATCTGGTTCCAATTCGCCCAACTCTCCAGCCTGTCCAGGTCTGCCTAAATCCACAGCCTGTCTTCAGGGGTGACCATGCTCCCCTGTAACTTGGTGTTGTCTGCAGATTTGGCCAGTGAGCTGTTCATGCCCCCACAGTCAAATCATTGATAAAGATGTTGAAAATCACTGGACCAAGCACAGACCCCTGAGGGACACCACTGGCCACTTCATCGCCAGGACAACACAGATCAGTTCATAAAAACTCTCTGGGTCCTACCTCACAGCCAGTTTCCTACTCGCTTAACCGTTGAGCAGTTAAACCCAGAATCCTCCAATTTCCCCACAAAGATATCCTGAGATATTGGATCAAAGGCCTTTTGGAAGTCTAAGTATATAATGTCAGCCTCCTCTCCCTTGTACAGGTGCTGAGATACCTGGTCCTAGAAGGAGATGTGGTTGGTAAGACCAGATCTGCCTGCGACAGCCATGCTGGCTGTTGTTCAGGATCCTACCCTCCACGAGCATATCGCCTGTAAACTCCTTGAGTGTTTTCTACGATTTTCCCTGGGCTACAGGTTAGACTGAATGGACCATGGTTGCCCGGGTCCTCCTCCTTCCTCTTCTTGAAGATAGACCCAATATTGGCCCTCTTCCAATCCCCCATGGAAATCCGCATGGTGTGCAGAGGCTGTCCTTGGCTTTTCCTGGCCAAGTTGGGCTGGAACTTGGGAAGTGTTTCATCCTGGTCTCGGGCTGTGTTAAATGGCTCATGGCATGGGTGGGATTCGCAAGGTTTCCTGTTGTGGAGAAAACTGAATTCCTTCCCCCCTCTGGTTTTCCAGAATTGTCCCCTTCCTTTTTCCTCTCTGGGGCCCTGAGTGTCACAAAGTCTGAAGTTCAACACCAGTCCAGGTTCAGGTTCATGGCAAGGCCTTTGTCCTGGTGCAGATTCCTCTGACTTGGCAGGCTACCTGGCACTTGTCAGCGGAGAAAAGCTCCCTGGGCTCATTCCCTGCACCTGAACGTGTCCTGGAAGCAGAGCCCCGTTTCTCCCAGAACAGGGAGCCACAGCTGTAAGTCCTGCCCTCCTCCTCAGCCCATTAGAGCATGAAAGCATTCAGGCTTCGTGCACATGTCCCACATGTGCTTGTCCCAGCAGGGTCCAAGTTGGTGGGGCTGATGCTGGGACAGAAACCCTGACAGTCTGACTTCGAACTCCACGGAGTAGGGAACATTAGCCCTGCACAAGCATCTGCCTCTCCCTCCGCCCCAGCACATGGGTTTTGGAAGGAAGACCTTGATTTCTTGAGTGAACACAAGTGTTGAGGTCCAGGCCTGCTGGGAGGCCCATTCCAGCAAAAGGAATAGCAGTTTTACCCCTTGCCAGGAATGGCAAGGAATAGTGTGGCGTTTGTTCCCCACACAGGAGGTGCCTGGTTCCTGAGCAGAGATGAGGAGCAGCCTCCTGCGGAAGGGCCTGCAGACCTGGAGCCATCATGGACTGGCCCAGGGAGTTTGGGTGAGATGGACTCCCTGAGACTTGAGAAGGAGCAATGGCACAAGAGTCAGGTGAGGCCCCAGAAGGAAAATGTACCGGTGAACCAGGTACCATCTCCATTTGGGCTTGAGAGTGGAGAGGGGCAGACCCCAGAAAGAGCGCTGGGTGCGGGGGAGAATTTGTGGAGCTGAGGGACATAAAGAGCCACAAGAAAGAGGCACTGCATCCCAGGCAAGAGACTGGGGAGGGCCTCGGGGGAAATCAAGAGCTCACTGGCAAGCACAGGAGCATAGCCCAACCCTGTCCCAAAGTCAGGAAAACCTTTAATTGCCCATCACTCATTGCTCTTCATAAGAAAAGGCACGCTGGGGAGAGAGCCCATATATCTATCAAGTGTGGGAAGAGCTTCCCCTGCCTCTCAACCCTGGTTGCTCACCCCAGATCCATTCTGGAGAGCGTCCCACTCCTTCACCAAATGAATGATCAGCTTTGTGTGCCCCTCGGGCCTGGTGAAACACCTACATGTCTACAGGGGGAAGCTTAGGTACCGGTGTGCCAAGTGTGGCAAGACCTTCACCCATTTCTTCTCCCTTTCTCGGCACCAGCACATCCACCTGAGGAGCGAGACACACCACTGTACTGGGTTTGGGAAGAACTTGTGCTGGCAAGACCAGTCCCAGCAGCAGTGTGCGCAGAGGGAGACGCAGCCACAGCATGGCACCAAGTGTGGGAAGAGCTTAAGGCAGCCCTCCAACCTGGCCAAGCATTGGTGCATGCACGCAAGGAAGAAGCCACACCAGTGTTCAGAGTGTGAGAAAAGCTTTGCCCACTATTCCAGCTTGGCCCGGCATCAGATCATCCACACAGGGAAGAAGCCACATCAGTGCTTGGAGTGTGGGAAGAGCTTCACCCAGTTCTCCACTGTGGCCCGGCACCAGCTCATCCACACAGGGGAGAAGCCACATCAGTGCTCGGAGTGTGGGAAGAGTTTCGCCCGAGCCTCCCACTTGTCCCAACACAAGGTCACACACACTAAAGAGAAGGCACATCAGTGCTCAGAGTGTGGGAAGAGCTTCACCCAGTTCTCCACTGTGGCCCGGCACCAGCTCATCCACACAGGGGAGAAGCCACATCAGTGCTCGGAGTGTGGGAAGAGCTTCAACCGGTCCTCCAACCTGGCCCAACACCAGCTTATCCACACGGGAACGAAACCATATCAGTGCTTGAAATGTGGGAAGAGATTCACTCAGGCCTCCAGTCTGGCCCAGCATCAGCTTATCCACACAGGGGAGAAGCCACATGGGTGCTCCGAGTGTGGGAAGAGATTCACTCAGGCCTCCAGTCTTGCCCAGCATCGGCGTATCCACAGGAGGGAGAAGCCACATCGGTGCTCAGAGTGTGGGAAGAGCTTCACCCAGTCTGCCAGCCTGGCCCGGCACCAGCTCATCCACATAGAGAAGAAAACACATTAGCGGTTAGAGTGTTGGAAATGTTTCCCCCACTTCTCCCCCACTTCTCCAAGCTGGCCTGGCACCAGTCCATCCACACACGGGTGCATCTGTAATGCTTCCAGCAATGCAGGAAGGGCTTGGGGACGTATACCTGCTCAGCACCTTCTAGTGCAGTGCAGGAAGAGTTCACCTATTGTTCAGCCCTGATAGGGCACTGCAGAACCCAGAGGACACAGAGGCTAGCCACCAGGGTTTGATGCAGGGTTGGGATAAAAGGAAAGGCCTCAGGCAGAGGCTAGTTCAGGTGCTGGGAGAACCTGTGAGGAGATGACCTTTGCCTCAGCCTTGGAGCTTGTGCCATCCCCATCATTCTGTGAAAAAGTCAGTGCTCCCAGGGGCAGAAGTGCCTTCACAATACGGTGCCCTCTCCAAGACAACTGGCTCCATATGACACCCAGGGCCTGGCTTCAGTCAAATATAAGCTTTGTCCTTCCTCCTGCTCCCAGGGTCCTGGGATGTGAGGCTCCTGAGTTCCAGGGAGGAGGATATTTATGGTGAGGAATCATTCCCTGCCTTCTACCCTGGCCTTGCCTTTCCTCCTCACCACATCTCTCTCCCAGGCCTGCACATGTCCATCAGGGTCTGCAAGAAGCTGCCACTGCCGCCCCATGAGTCCAGTTTGGCAGTTTTGTTTCTCAACCCCTCACCATAACTGCACCACCAGGTGCCAGCTGCCCCCCCCCCCCCCCCCCCCTCCCCACCCCCAACACACCCTCTTCATCCCGGTCTCTACAACAGATTCTTTGCTAATCACACCCACAACTTAGCACGATATCCCTGCGGTTGGTCTCTATGTCCTCTCCAGAGCTGTGAAACGGGAACAGAGCAGGGCCCAGAATCTCTGTGATTTCCCAGCCCCTTCCCTTCCCTTCCCTTCCCTTCCCAGAGGATTCACCACAACCCAGGGCATGTTGTTCACCCTCGGGAGCAGGAGCTGGTCACACTCGAGGCATTGCATCCATGGACCGCTGTGCGGCCAGGACCTGCCCTTCTGGATGAACCTCTGCCAGGGGGAAGTAGAGTGTCTGTTCTGGGTTCAGTGCGTTTAGTAGAGGGAAAGGAAGTTAGCCTGTGCTGGGTCATATCTCTTCTGTGGAAGCATGGAGAAAGTATGAATGCATCCTGTGGGTAAAATGCAGCAAGGTGTAATCTCCCATTGGGAATACTGAGGCTTCCCTGCCACTATCAAAGCCATTTGGCTCCATACGTGTCCTGTGGGGCCTACTCCAAGAGGTTAATAACCCATCCTGGAGCACACTCACTCATTTCCTTAACTGTCCTTTCTGCTGATACCCCGCAGTGTATTAAACTGCTGCCTCCCTTTCCCTATATTATAACATTTAAGAAAACCTTGTGACTTCTGAATGAACCTCAGTTTTTTGGCAGGAGGGCTGGTTTGTCTTGTTGGAGGTGGCCATAGAAAGAAGGGAGGGAGGGAGAATTTGTTCGACACACTTTGAATGTGCCCATTACTTGTTGAATTTGAAGGGGGCAGTTGAGATTGGGGGCAATGCATGTAGGTGAGGGAGTGTGTGTCACAGGAACTGAAGTCCGAACTACCCCTTCCTAAGAGGGGAGCGTGGCTGCAAGGCAGTTCAGGTCTCCTGATGTTTCTTCACAAGGCCTGACTCCAAAGCCGGCTTCTCGAATGCAGTTCCCACTGTTTTTTGTGACAGTCCTATGCAGAAGAGAAAGGTGCGTTACAGAAGAGCTGCATAAGGATCTGTTGCCAGGGCCCTGAGCAGGGTTGAACCGGAGCACAGGGAGGCACCTAAGTCCACCAAGGCCCCTGCAGCCGACTTCTCTCCCACGCCAGCTCCAGCAGGTGACCAAGAGCATGGGAAAGTCCCGCTGGGAGCCTGGGGATTTAGGTCTCCACGTACACCCGTGGCCACAGCCATCGTAGGTTCCAGTTCCTGTTGGCTGATGGCATTGTCTCCAGGAGGGATAAAGTCAGTAGATCTTCCCTTTTGATTTCTTCCCTTGGTTCAGACTGCAGAGACCCAAAGGGCTGCTGCGCAAGGTGAAGTTGGAGGTGGTGATTTACAGCTCAGCTGCACTCTCTGCATCTGGTGGCCTGTGTCAGGTTTTGCTAGCTCTCTCCCCACCCTCCGAAGTAAAAACCTCCCGTTTTCCTGGCCTGTGGAAGTCCAGTGAGCCTTTGAATATCTGAAATGGGCTTTCACCTCTGCCCATGTGCTAGCTTCTCCAGACACCACCTTGTCTTTTATGGTAGAAATAGATGCATCCAGCACCACAATAGGTGCAGTGCTCTCACAATGGCAGGGCCCAGACCAAATCCTGCAGCCCTGCACCTTCTAACAGGTCACAAAACCCAGTTGCCAACCTACAGCCCAGAAATTGTCACAAGAAGCAAGGAGGATTCCCACTTGTATATCAAAAATCATAGGGGGTAGGGTTGCAAGTCAGCTGGCCAAGGGGAGGGAACAGGTAAAACGTAAAGAAACGTCAACATTGTGGTAGCATACATTCAGCACCTTAATTCCCTGCCACCCCCAACACCTCCAGAAGTGTTCCCCAAACAAGCATTTAGTCCCACGAGCGATCAAACACCCGCAGCTGCCCCCAAGTCTGGATCCAGCTCTTTCTGTCCATGTCCTGGCTGACAGGCAGGGAGATTTCCAGCTCCACTGTGCACTCCTCTGTGCAGGGCTGGCCAGGCTCCACCTGCATGCTG